TTATAATCCTTTCCAACACTTTACCCACAACCGAAGTAAGGCTCACTGGTCTATAATTACCAGGGTTGTCTCTACTCCCCTTCTTGAACAAGGGGACAACATTTGCTAGTCTCCAGTCTTCTGGCACTATTCCTGAAGACAATGACGACATAAAGATCAAAGCCAAAGGCTCTGCAATCTCCTCTCTAGCTTCCCAGAGAATCCTAGGATAAATCCCATCCGGCCCAGGGGACTTATCTATTTTCACACCTTCCAGAATTGCTAACACTGCCTCCTTATGAACCTCAATCCCGTCTAGTCTAATAGACTGTATTCTCCTCAACTACATTGTCTTTTTCCTGTGTGAATACTGACGAAAAATATTCATTTAACACCTCTCCTATCTCTTTGGACTCCACGCACAACTTCCCACTACTGTCCTTGACCGGCCCCAATCTTACTCTCGTCATTCTTTTATTCCTGACATACCTATAGAAAGCTTTCAGGTTTTCCTTGATCCTACCTGCTAAAGACTTCTCATGTCCCCTCCTGGCTCTTCTTAGCTCTCTCTTTAGGTCCTTCCTGGCTAACTTGTAACTCTCAAGCACCCTAACTGAGCCTTCACGCCTCATCTCTACATAAGCCTCCTTCTTCCTCTTGACAAGAGATTCAACTTCTTTAGTAAACCACGGTTCCCTCGCTCGACCACTTCCTCCCTGCCTGACAGGTACATACTTCTCAAGGACACGCAGTAGCTGTTCCTTGAACAAGCTCCACATTTCAATTGTGCCCAGCCCCTGCAGTTTCCTTCTCCATCCTATGCATCCTAAATCTTGCCTCATAATTGCCTTTCCCCCAGCTATAACTCTTGCCCTGCGTTATATACCGATTCCTTTCCATCGCTAAAGTAAACTCGACAGTGTAACCGAATTACAACTCCAACATTAGCTCCTTGCTCTTGTACTCTATGCTACGACTGATGAAAGCAAGTATCCCATAAGCCTTCTTAACTACCTTATTCATGTGCTCTGCCAACTTTAGGGATCTGTGAATAATTACCCCAAGAACCCGCTGTTCCTCTCTGTACCCAGTGTCTTGTTGTTCACTAAATGCTCATCTTGTGTCTTTTTCCAAATGCCATCTGTTACTGGTCTGCTCATCTGACCAACCCAACTATAGCTTCTTGTAACCATAACCATCTTCTGCTCTATTATCAACTCTACCCATCTTGGTGTTATCTGCAAATTTGTTTAACATTCCACTTATATTTTCATCTACATAATATATGTAAATAACCAATCATAAGGGTCCCAACATCTGTGGAGAGAAATCAGAGTTAACATTTCGGATTGAGTGATCCTTCCTCAGAACTGTTTGGAGGAAGGGTCATGTGACCAGAAACATTAACTCTGATTTCTCTCCGTGCTGTGCTTATTCAGCAATTTCTGTTTTTGTCTCTGGTTGACAGCATCCGCAGTTCTTTTGGTTTTTAATAAGGATCCCATTACTGATCCTTGTGGTACCACTGCTGCACTCCAGCCCCCAGTCACTCAAACAGCCCTCTACCACTACCCTTTGTGTCCTATTATTAAGCCAGTTTCTGATCCATCTCGCCACATTTCCCTCAATTCCATGTGCTTTAACCGTTTCAATCAGTCTTCCATGTGGGACCTTGTCAAAAGCTTTGCTGAAATCCATGTAAACTAAATCGACCGAGCTTCCCTCATCCATACACGAACACATTTTCAAAAAATTCCAACAAATTAGTTAGGCATGACCTCCCTCTTTCAAAGCCATGATGACAATCCTTAACTACCCCATGCATTTTCAATTGGATATTAATTCACTCCTTGACTCACCAATCTGTAATTTCCTGGTTCATCGCTGCCACCCTTCTTGAAAAGTGGAACGACAGTAGCTGTCTGGTACTTTTCCCGTGGCCACAGAGGAATTAAAATCTTGTATCAGAGGTTGTTGACTTGCTCGCCAAGCTGGCTTGTTTTCGTTCAGATGTTTCGTCATCACACTAGGAATCATCATCAGTGAGGTCTCTGATGAAGCGATGTTGTTCTAACTCTGCTCGGAATTTATACTTTCCAGTCCGTTATGGTGAGTAGTGTCATTTCTGGTTTTGTTCTCTGTAGGTTTGTATATGGGGTCCAATTCTATACGTTTGTTGATTGATTGCCTTACGGGTTGAGAACCATGCCTCTAGGAATTCCCGTGCGTGTCTATGTTTGGCTTGGTCTTCTATAGTTATGTTGTCCCAGTTAAAGTAATAGCCTTCATTGTCCGAGTGTACTGATATTAGGGAAAGTTTGTGGTGTTGTTTTGCTGCTAGCTGATGTTCGTGTATTCTAATGGCTAGTTTCCTTCCTGTCTGTCTGATGTAATGTTTGTGGCAGTCAGTGCATGGTATTTTGTAAACCATGTTGGTTCTGCATGTTGTGGGAATGGGGTCTTTAATCCTCGTGAGTGTTTGATGTAGCATGGCTGTCAGCTTGCGGGCCACCGTGATTCCGAGTGGTCTCAGGAGTCTCATTGTTAGTTCTGATATGTTCTAGATGTACTAAGTAGACAACAACAAGAGGACACAGTATAGAACATATCAGAACTGACGAGACTCCTAAGACCACTCGGAATCATGGTGGCCCACAAGCTCACAGCCACTCCACATCAAACACTCACAAGGATTAAAGACATGCACAACATGCAGAACCAACATGGTTTACAAAATACCATGCACTGACTGCCACAAACATTACATCAGACAGACAGGAAGGAAACTAGCCATTAGAATACACGAACATCAGCCAGCAGCAAAACGGCACGACAAACTTTCCTTAATATCAGTACACTCAGAATGAAGGCCATCAGTTTAACTGGGATAACGTAACTATAGAAGGCCAAGCAAAACATAGACACGCACGGGAATTCCTAGAGGCATGGTTATCAACCCGTAAGGCAATCAACAAACGTATAGAATTGGACCCCATATACAAACCTACAGAGAACAAAACCAGAAATGACAATACTCGCCATAACAGACCTGAAAGTATGAATTCCAAGCAGAGTAGAATAACATTGCTTCATCAGAGACCTCACTGATGACGTTACCGAGCATGGTGACGAAACATCTGAACGAAAACAAGCCAGCTCGGCGAGCAGGTCAACAACCTCACTCACAACCTGAGCTACAAATCTTCGGTAGAAGTTTAAACTTGTATAAGATCCTCTGAAATTTCCTGCCTCACCAACCACAGCAGCCTGGGATGCAATTCATCTGGGCTGGGGAATCTCTCCATTTTTAAGCCAGAGTATGCATCCAATACCCTCCCATTTCATATATCAAACTGTGAAAGTTCCTCACAGTCCCTTTTCCTGAATTCCATACCTACGCACTCCCTTTTCAGAGTTAAGACTGAAGAGAAGTATTCATTCAACACCCTTCCAATATCCTGCGGCTTCACACACATGTTGCTCCTTGGTCCCTAATGCGCCCTACTCTTTCTCTGGTTAACCTCTTCCCTTTAATGTATTTTATGAAATGGGTTCTCCTTAATTCTGTCTGCAAGTCCTTTTTCATGCCTCCTTTTTGTTCTGCTAATTGTTTTCTTAAGTTCCCTCCTGCATTTCTTCTATTCATCTAGGGCCACAGCAGAATTGCTCTCTTTGGACTTGCTTAAAGCCCTTCTCTTCATCCTCGTCTAGTCCTGAATTGTTCTAGACATCAGGATTCTCTGAACTTACTGCTCCTACATTTCCCTCTATAGGTACATGTTGGACCTGACTCTCCCCAGCTCCGTTCGGAATCGTCCCCACTTTTCTACTATAGGCTTTGCAAATCTCAATGAGTTACTGACCTGTTATAACCCCTGGGGCTTGTGCTGCCATAACAGCCTGTGGCAATGCTCCGAGTGGTTGTGCAAGGGTCAGTGCTGGAGTGACCAGACCTGGTGCAGAGAGACCACTTACACCAAGTACAGCTGCTCCTGCAACAGCCTCCTACAGCAAGGAAGATAGACAATGTTAGGACAGTGTAACAACATTCTCAAACAGTTTATATGGCAGACTTCTCAAAAGTTCAATTTTGTACCACTCAAACAGTACAGATGCAACAGGCTCAACTCCCACTAACCTTAAAGGTTACAAAAAGGTGTTAAAACCAGGATGAGGAAGGAACAGATCAAAATATCCTGATTACATATATTAAAACAAGGTATGGAATCTCAATGCGTATGGCAATATTGCAACAGCATCCATAAAGTACTTTTCTCTCCCAAAACAGGACAGCCTGTTGGAAGACCAGTCTGCTCAACAATGCTTCAGACTCAGGACACCTTTCACTTCACAAATGTCTTGAGCTTGAACTGTTTAGACGATGCCGAATGAATACAAATGTAAGCTGGAGAGAGTACGCTGGGCAGCCTGATTTTGGGGGAGGGGGATGCACTCGAGCACAGGTGGGGATCCATGTCCCTGCATAGCCACTGTTGACAGTTATTACACACTTGGGTGTTGCAAGTCAGTCTCCATGACAGGCTGCTTCAAGAGCATGAGCTGCAATCAATTTTTCCATTCTTGAACTGGGTTTCTATCAGTACTGAAATTAGTTCATTTTAACTGGTCCCTTTTGATGAAAAGGTAATCACACTGGCTTGTGCCAAACATCCTTCCAGCCCAACCAGACAATGCCAGTGTTTATACACCACCCCTATCTGTAACCATCTAATCTATCACCATAACTCTCCATTGTCCTTCTCCCTCATCTGCTGGCCAGTTTCTCCTTAAATGCATTGCTACCACCTGCTTCAATCATTCCTTGCAGTAATGCATTCCACATTCTCACTGCTCTGCATAAGGGAGATTTTCTTTTTCCCCTGAACTGCCCATTGTATTTCTCAGCGACAGTCTTCCCCTGATGGTCTCTAGTTATGCTCTGCCTCATCCCACAAAAGGAAACATTCTCTCTGCATCCATGTGACCGAAATCTTTCATTTTACAGAAAAGACATCCCTCAGCCATTTTTCAAAAGAAACAGGCTGTTACTTCTTTCATGCTATGTTACCCCAGTATCATACTTATGAATCTTCTCTGCATCCCCTACGATGCTTTTGTATCCTTTTCCAACATGGTGACTAGAATGACAAAGATTACTCCAATTCTGGTCAAACTAATTACCTATAGTTACTCCTCGAGAAAAAAAAAGTTTGGTTTGCTTTATGACTCTGCTAACTTATGGAGCAGCTTGCAATGAGTGGTGTATTTCTCCCTTGTACCTCTATACTTACATAGAACATAGAACATTACAGCACAGTACAGGCCCTTCGGTCCATGATGTTGTGCCAACCTATTGTCCTACTAAGATCAAACTATCCTGCATACCCTACATTTTACTGTCCTCCATGTGCCTATCCAGGTCACTTAAAAGTCTCTAAAGTACGACTCCGCTACCACTGCCGGCAGCGCATTCCACACTCCCACCACTCTCTAGATTTGCACCTTCCAAATAATCAATGGCATTCCAATTCTTCCAACCAAAATGTAGATCAACATCTGGTTATGTTGAGAAAATTTCTCTGGATTCAGAGATTGCAAGATGCATGTATAGGATCTGAAACTCTCACTTATTTGTGTGGAACTTAATTTACCAACTTTTCCCTATTCTGTAGATTTAGTAGTGGTCCCCTGTAATTTATTGCAATTTTCTTCAGTATTGTCCCCCCCGCCCCCAACCCATTTAGCGTCATTTGCAAATTTGGAATTGTGTTGTGGCTCAAAAGCCAAAATCATTAGTATAATTATATGTAGCAGTGGTCCTGGCAATTATCCCTATTGAGCATTACTTTCTACTACTTACCTCTCTGAGTAACTATCTGTTGCTTCTAGACACTGACTTCCATCTTGAAACCATACTTGGTCTGTTATGAAGCACCTTATCAAAAGGCCTTCTGAAAATCCAAATAAACTACATCCGTTGTATTTTTATTACGTCCTGTCTGACCTTCTCAAATACATTATTTATATTCATCAAACAAGATCTTTCCTTTTGAAATCCATGCTAAATATTCTTTATATTTTGTTTTAAATGTTACTTTTTGATTTTTTTTATTCTTCCATTTAAGGATTGTAAAGTGTGTTAGAAACAGTTCAGCAAAGATTCACTGATAAATTCATTGATAGATGTGATGGAGGAGAAGATGGGCTTCTGTTCATTGGAGTTTAGAAAAACTGGAGGTGATCTAATTGAAACTTGCAAGATTCTAGGGGGCTTGACAGGGTAGATACTGAGAACATGGCTCCCTTGCAAGAGACCAGAATTAGGGGGAAAACAGATTAAAAATAAGGTGGTGCATATTTAAAACTGAGATGAGGAGGGTTTTATTCTCTCAGAAGATCAACACCTTTTGGACTTCTCTTCCCAGAGTGGAGTAGGGGCAGGGTCACTGAATGTTTTAAGCCAGGACAAAGAGATTCTTGACTGAGAAGGGAGTAAATGGGTAACAGGGTTAGCTGAAGATGTGGAATTGAGGTCCACCATCCAGACAAGTACAGAGTATTCATTACACTCCTAACTTGTGTCTTACAGATGGTGGACAGGTTAAGAGGTGAGTTACACATTACAGGATTCCTAGTCTCTGACCTGCTCTTGTAGACAATATTTATATGGCTAGTCCAATTCAACTTCTGATCAATGATAACCCCAGGATGTTGATATTTCTTTTTATTCATTAACATAGAACATTAGTTAGGCCGCATTTGGAATATTGTGTTCAGTTCTGGTCGTCACACTACCAGAAGTATGTGATGGCTTTGGAGAGGGTACAGAAAAGTTTTACCAGGATGTTGCCTGGTATGGAGGGCATTAGCTATGAGGAGAGGTTGGAGAAACTTGGGTTGTTCTCACTGGAACGACGGAGGTTACGGGACGACCTGATAGAGGTCTACAAGATTATGAAGGGCATAGGCAGAGTGGACAGTCCGAAGCTTTATCCCAGGGTGGAAGAGTCAGTTACCAGGGGCTGTGGGTTTAAGGTGCGAGGGGCAAGGTTTAAAGGTGATGTACCAGGCAACTTTTTTACACAATTTTTACACAGAGGGTGGTGGGTGCCTGGAACTTGCTGCCGGGGGAGGTAGTGGAAGCAGATACGATAATGACTTTTAAAAGGCGTTTGGACAAATACGTAAAAAGGATAGGAAGAGAGGGTTACGGTCCCCGGAAGGGTAGGGGGTTTTAGTTGTGACGGGCAGCATGTTGGTGCAGGCTTGGAGGGCTGAAGGGAGTGTTCCTGTGCTATAATTTTCTTTTTTTTGAAGAGGAGGGCAGTGGTGCTTAGGTCAGCATCTACTGCCCTTCCCAATTGCCCAGAGGGCATTTAAGAGTCAACCATATTGTGGTCTAGAGTCACACATAGACCAGACCAGGTAAGAATGGCAGTTTTCTCCGAAATGGACATTAGCGATCCAGATGGGTTTTTCTGACAATCAAAAATGGATTAATGGTCATCATGAGACACTTAATTCCAGATTTTTTAAAATTGAATTCAAATTCCACCATCTGCCATGGAGGGAACTGAACCCGGGTCATTGGATAAACAGTCTAGCGACAATACCACTAAGCCATCGCCTCCTCAACTCAGCAGGCAAATAGCATAATATCTGGAAGAGGAAACTCCAGCAGTGAGATGCTTCCATCAGCGAATCGTGGCCTGGGTTGATCCTTGCAAATCATTTTGGAGCTTCCAGAGTTGTGTACAAAGCCTGTAACATGACTACACATTCTGGGAGTACATCTAAGAATCCTCAGCTTGTTATTCAATCATTAGCTAGAGGAGGAATGGCAAAATATTTTTGTCAAATTTTGTGTGTATTCAGGGGCTGCAGGTTTTAGCATCATTGGCACAGGTTCCATTGGTCTTAGCATGAACAGGTATGGCAGTGTAAAGCCCTCGGTTTCTGGCTGGTATAGGACTGAAAGTGCCCGCACCCACCTGAGCTGTGATCTTTGCTGTTGCTGCAGCTGCTGCCACTGCTGCTGCAGGGGGCAATCCACCAGGTGCTGCAGGGGTCATCAAAGGCATCGGGGGAGTCACTGCTTTCCCAACACGGAGGAACTGGCCACCGAGGTCAAAGAGATTCATGGAAGATACCGCATCTTGAGAAGATTGAGCCTTTTCATATTCTGCACAAAGCAAACAGGTTTGGTGTTTATATGAACAGGAAGGCCACAGATGAAGCACTTTAAACTGGTTCACAAGATCACAGTCACACACCACCATTCACATACACTAGGTTACACAAGATCACATAGCCATAGCCCACCATTCCTGCATACGGTCACGTGATCACTCACAAACGGCCAGTCCCTTTCATTTATTGAAACCTGACAATGCCAGGGGAGCTCTTTGTCCATAGTCCGAGCATGCCATCAAACTCCCTTACACCGTATCATCTGCTCTCAAGGAGCAAACAGAAGGGAGTTCAGCAGGGGGCTGTATGGAACAAAGTGCAGGGAACAATGAAACAGAGAAAGGAGGAAGGTGAATGAAATTTGAAGAGTATGGTAGTGTAATGGTTATGCTACGTACTAATAATTCAGAGACCTATTCTAATGATCAGAAATATTATATCAACAAGGCAGCTAGGGAATATAAATTCAGCTTACTGAAATGTCCGGAATAAAAGCAAGCTTAAATAATGGTAGGCATGAAACTACCAAATTTGTGTAAAATCTCTGGTTCACTAATGTCTTTTAGGGAATGAAATCTGCCTTCTTTACTCTGTCTAGTGACTGCAGACCCACAGCAATGAAGCTTATTCTTAATCGTTCTCTGAGAGATTGCCTAACAAGTCACTCAGATGTATTTAAACAGTCATCGCCACCTTCAAGGGCATATGTGCCAGTCTTGTCAGATATATTCATATCCTATGAGCAACCCAGAAAGGGGACTGTCAATGAACACGAAGAGCAGACAGGAGGACGATTGGAAGCACAGAGCTTTGGTGCTAATAGAAAAGTAGAATACTTTTTGTCAGGGGTGAAATTTGTAAATGCTTAGAGGGATTTCAGCACACCCAATCAAGGAATACAAAATCAGCATGCAGCAGGCAAATGTGAAGACAAATGACATGTTAGAACTTTGCTGCAAGAGGACTGGAGTACAAGTAAAATAATAAACCGTACAGTATTTTGGTGCAATCACATCTGGAAGAGTATGCAGCTTTGATCTCCATATTTAAGAAAAAGAAACCACTTCCTTGGAGATAGTGCAGCATAAATTCACTCAACTAGTTTCTGGGATGAGGGAGTTGGCCTATGATGAGAGACTGAGTAAATCAGAATCATAGACTACCCATATTACGGAAAGAGGTCATTTAGCCCATCGAGTCTGCAACAACCCTCCAAAGAGCATCCCACCCAAACCCAGCCTCCCACCCCTCCCCATAACCTCACATTTACCACGAACAAGTCACCCAACTTTATCCTTGGACTGTGGGAGGAAACCGGAGCACCCGGAGAAAACCCACACAGACACAAGGAGAATATGCAGACTCTACACAGACAATCACCCAAGGCTGGAATCAAACTCGGGTCGCTAGTGCTGAGAGGCAGCAGGATATCCACTGAGCCACTGCGCCGAAGGAAAAATCGGGCCTTTATTCTCTGGAGAAATGAGAGATGACATCGTAAAGCACAAGATTCTCAAAGGGCTTGACAGTGTAGACAAGGGGCACTCCCTCTAGCTGGGAAAACTAGAATAGAGGGTCACAGTCTAAGGATAAGGGATTCATCAAGGGCTGAGATCCAGAGATGTGCCATGAGTCGTAGAGGTCTACAGCAGAGAAAAGGCCCCTTTAACCCACCAGGTCTGTGCCAAACAAAAACTACCACCTAATTATTCTAATTTCATTTTCCAGAACTCAACCCATAGCCTTATGTGCTTTGGCATCACAAGTGTATACAGAACATAGAACAGTGCAGCACAGGCCCTTCGCCCACGATGTTGTGCTGAACTTTTACCCGAATCCTAAGGTCTATCTAACCTCCACCCCTACCTTATACTATCATCCATATGCCTATTGAAGAGCCGCTTAAATGCCCCTAATGAGGCCGACTCCACTACCCTCTCCAGCAATGCATTCCATGCCCCAACCACTCTCTGAGTAAAGAACCTACCTCTGACATCTCCCCTGTATCTACCTCCACTCACTTTAAAACTATGCCCCTTCGTAATAGCTACCTCCACCCTAGGAAAAAGTCTCTGGCTGTCCACTCTATCTATACCTCTGATCATTTTGTACACCTCTATCAAGTCACCTCTCATCCTTCGTCGTTCTAAAGAGAAAAGCCCTAGCTCTCTCAACCTTCCCTCCATTCCAGGCAACAACCTGGTAAATCTCCTCTGCACCTTTTCCAACGCTTCCACATCTTTCCTGTAATGAGGCGACCAGAACTGGACACAATACTCCAGATGTGGCCAAACCAGGCTTTTGTATAGCTGGATAATAACTTCACAGTTCTTGATTAATGTCCTCTATTAATGAAAGCTAACACATCATATGCCTTCTTAACAACTCTATCTACCTGGGTGGCAGCTTTCAGGGAACTGTGAACATGAACCCCAAGATCCCTCTGCTCCTCCTCACTGCCAAGAATCTTACCGTTAACCCTGTATCCTGCTTTCAAGTCTGTCCTTCCAAAATGAATCACCTCACAATTTTCAGGGTTAAACTCCATCTGCCACTTCTCAGCCCAGCTCTGCATCCTATCAATGTCCCTTTGTAACCTAGAACAGCGCTCCGCACTGTCCACAACGCAACTCACCTTCGTATCGCCCACGAACTTGCTAATCCACCCTTCCACTCCTTCATCCAAATCATTTACAGAAGTCACAAATAGGAGAGGACCCAGGACAAATCCTTGTGGTATCCCACTCGTAACTGAGCACCATGTTGAATATTTTCCATCCACTACCACCCTTTGTCTTCTAAGGGTCAGCTAATTCTGAATCCAATCTGCCACATTTCCCCCTATCCCATGCCTCCTTACCTTCTGCATGAGCCTACCATGGGGAACCCTATCAAACGCCTTACTTAAATCCATGTATACCACATCCACTGCTCTACCTTCATCCACGTGTTTGGGCACCTCTTCAAAGAATTCAATAATGTTTGAGAGGCATGATCTACCCCTCAAATCGATGCTGACTATCACGAATCAAACTGTGCCTTTCCAAGTGATCATAAATCCTATCTCTCAGAGCCCTTTCCAATAATTTGCCCACCACTGATGTAAGTCTAACTGGCCTGTAATTTCTGGGGTTATCCCCATTCCCTTTTTTAAACAAGGGAATGACGCTTGCCTCTCTCCAGTCTTCCGGCACTATACCCAGGGACAGTGAGGATGAAAAGATCATCGCCAAAGGCCCTGAGAGCTCTTCCCTCACTTCCCACAGAATCCTTGGATAAATCCCATCAGGCCTGGGGGACTTATCTATCTTCAAGTTCCTGAAAATTCCTAGCACATGTTCATTACTAACATCAACCTCCTCTAGCCTACCAGCCTGTTTGACACTATCCTCCTCTACAATTAGGTCCCTCTCAGTTATGAATACCGAAGAAAAGTATTCATTAAGGACCTCTTATATCTCTTTAGGCTCCGTGCACAAATTCTCTTTACAGTCCTTGATCGGCCCTACCCTTTCTCTGGTCATTCTCTTGTTCCTCATGTACGTGTAAAAAGCCTCGGAGTTTTCCTTGATCCTACCTGCCAAGGTTTTCTCATGCCCCCTTATAGCTCTTCTAAGCCCTTTCTTCAGCTCCTTCCTGGATAACTTGTATCCTTCTAAAGCCTTCCCCGTTCCTTGTTTCCTAAACCTTATTTAAGCATCCTTCTTCCTCTTAACCAGTCGTTCGACCTCTCTTGAGAGCCAAGGCTCCCTCATTCGACCGCATCTTCCCTGCCTCCTAGGGACAAACATATCGATCACACGCAGTATGCATGCCTTAAAAAATCTCCACATTTCTATAGTGCTCTTCCCTGACAGCATCTGTTCCCAATTTATGTTACCCAGTTCTTGCCTAACAGAATTGCAATTACCCTTCCCCCAATTATAAACCTTACCCTGCTGTAGTACTTATCCTTTTCCATGACTATTGTAAAAGTAACAGGGTTATGATCACTACCGCCAAAATGCTCTCCAACAAACAGGTCTAACACTTGGCCCGGTTCATTGCCAAGCACCAAATCCAAAGTGACCTCTCCTCGTGTTGGTCTACCGACATACTGTGTCAGGAATCCTTCCTGAAATCACTGGACAAAATCTGCTCCATCTAAACTATTACAACTAAAATGTTTCCAATCAATATTTGGAAAGTTGAAGTCACCCATGACTACAACCCTGTGACTTCTGCACCTTTCCAGTGTCTGCCTCCCAATCCGCTCCTCCACTTCTCTGCAACTATTAGGGGGTCTGTAAAAAACCCCCAACAAAGTGACTGCTCCTTTCTTGTCCAGGCCTCAACCCAAACTGACTCTGTAGACATATCATTCTCGAACTGCCTTTCAGTAGCTGCTATACTAGCCCTGACTAGCAATGCCACTCCCCCGCCTCTTTTCGCAACCTCCTTATTTCTTTTAAAGCAACTAAATCCCGGAACTTCCGACAACCATTCCTTACCCAAGTTTCTGTAATGGCCACAACATCGTAGTTCCACGTACTGACCCATGCTCTAAGTTCATCCACCTTATTTCTGATACTTCTAGCATTGAAGTATACACACCTCAAACCATCTGTGTCCACAATTACGCTCCATCGGCCACATTTCTTTATAAACAACCTCACTTCCTATTGTGTCTGTTGGAAAGCTGAATACCTCATGCTCTGAATTACAAATCCGGTTCCCCACTCCCTGCCAATCTAGTTTAAACCATCCCATATAGCTCCAGCAAATCTCCCTCCCAGGATATTTGTGCCCTTCCGGTTCAGGTGCAACCCGTACTTACTGTACAGGTCCCACCTTCCCCAGAATGTGCTCCAATTATCCACATAATGGAAGCCCTCCCTCCTACACCAGCCCTGTAGCCACGTGTTTAGCTGCACTCTCTCCCTATTTCTTACCTCGTTATCATGTGGCACTGGTAGTAATCCAGAGATAACCACCCTGTTTGTCCTGGACTTC